GTCATGCTGCCGAGCCTTAGGCATCGTTGTCACAGCAACTGTTGCCAGGACATTCAGCATGACCACACTGAAATAGTAGACAGACAGTGACTGGCCAGTCTTGATCAACACAATGCTATTTGAGACTAGCACATCAATGTGGCTGGGGAGAGAGTGGTTCTGGACATCATGCTTCTCATTGCTGCATCACTCACTGCAGGCTGCAGGGTGTTTACCTCACAAAGACAGCATTCAGGGTTCAGCACTCCAGTCCACGAAGAAGGCTGAGGGGGGGTCTTTGGTCTTATGAGTATGGAGGTCTTCTCAGCTTCCCCCCCCCCCCCCCCCCCCCCATTTTGTTTACTCAAAAGGACTACTTAGACTACTGTCTTTTTCAGTGAAATATGCACCAAAGATTTTCCAAAATAGACGCCATTAAGGAAGACCCCAAGGCGAAGTCTACTCCTGTACCACGAGTACAGTCAGACATTACTTCCCCCCCAGTGCTGAGGCCATTAAAAATATCGAATCGTGTGTTCAATTGAGCGTTGAGAATAGCTTGATGTTAGCAGGCCATCCCCTCCTCTCTCCTGTGCAGTATGGTCTCCTCTGTTCATATCAGCGTTGGCTGGCTGTCTCCTGCAGCGGTCATAACACCCATCAACACAGCTCAGCTAACCCACCATGACACTGCTGTGTCTACGGGGCCACTACCACACAGTGGAAAAGGGTAAATGTATGTGAATGCTATCTAACGAAAGAGTCCTTTGTAGAAATATGTCACCCCTACTGTGTAACATAATCAGCATGCCTACCCCTCCTACCATTTTTAATTGGTGCGGTTTAGCTTACAATGGAAAAACACGTTGTCTCTCCCTCCTCTTAAATTCACCTGAGTCTAGGTGGCAACTGGTTGATGTATGAGCCCCAGAGTTCACATTCATATGTATCGGCTCCAGAGTTCACATTCATATGTATCGGCCCCAGAGTTCACATTCATATGTATCGGCCCCAGAGTTCACAGTCATATGTATTGGCCCCAGAGTTCACATTCATATGTATCGGCCCCAGAGTTCACATTCATATGTATCGGCTCCAGAGTTCACATTCATATGTATCGGCCCCAGAGTTCACATTCATATGTATTGGCCCCAGCGTTCACATTCACATGTATCGGCCCCAGAGTTCACATTCATATGTATCGGCTCCAGAGTTCACACTTATATTTGGTTCAAACGAGACAAACCCAAAGGCGAAATTCAAATATTGAGGCATTCAGAGACAGAACTTCCTAATGACCTTCAGGCATGAACAACAGCATGACCTAAAGCTCTTGGTTACGAGCTGGGAAGAAGTAATATACCTCCTAATTAGTTAGTAACAGAGTCTCTCAAAACAAAAAGCAATTACTCTTTGAGATAATTAAATGACTCAGCCTACCCAAAGGACACTGAATTTAGCTGACAGGCGATGTGTGACTTTAAATTACGATATTAATTCTAGGCTAGCGCACTGATGAAATCTCAATGTGAGATCTCTTGGAGAGTTCTTCTCAGTATACAGTAGTAGAACACACGAGAGCAGTACACACACTGCTGAAACCGCACCCTGAAGGGCCGATCCTCAGGGCCGATCCTCAGGGCCGATCCTCAGGGCCGATCCTCAGGGCCGATCCTCAGGGCCGATCCTCAGGGCCGATCCTCAGGGCCGATCCTCAGGGCCAATACAGGAAGCCTTGCAGCGTGCTGGTGGGAACAAGACTTTACACAGCAGTTGGGAACCTGCCAATGTTTCCCAGCAGCGAACGTCAAACATACTGACCACACTGTCGGTCACAAGGGTCCATTTCAAGCATCTCTACTACGAGGCTGTATTCATACCCATCTCTACTACGTGGCTCTATTCATACCCATTGAATGAGTCCTCTGTGTGCTGTATCTATTTCCCTCCATCATCACTTGTTCTTCCCTCTCACTACCTCCCATCTCGCTCCCAGCAGGAAGCACTGTCATCAGAAGATATTGCAAATTGTGTTTGGTATATATATATATATATATATACTGTATATTTCTTTTTACTTTAACCCCCTTTTTCGTGATATCCAATTTCGTAGTTACGATTTTGTCTCATCGCTGCGACTCCCCTACGGACTCGGGAGAGGCGAAGGTCGAAAGCCATGCGTCCTCCGACACACAACCCTGCCAAGCCGCACTGCTTCTTGACACACCACTCGCTCAACCCGGAAGCCAGCCGCACCAATGTGTCGATCGAAGTCAGCTTGCAGGCGCCTGGCCCGCCACAAGGAGTCGCTAGAGCACGATGAGACAAGAAAATCCCTGCCGGCCAAACCCTCCCCTAACCCGGACGACACTGGGCCAATTGTGCGCCGCCCCACGGGTCTCCCGGTCACGGCTGGCCTGGGATTGAACCCGAGGCTGTAGTGGCGCCTCAGCACTGCGATGCAGTGCCTTTGATCGCTGCGCTTCTCGGGAGGCCAGTTGGACTATTCTCAGGAAAATAACCTAGTCTTGATCAAAGCTCCACCCTGTTCAAGGGCTATATCAGGGTCCTAGAGTATACCTTACTGTAATAACACACTGTGACAGGTACTCTGGGAGAAAACACAGTACAGAACAACCAATCTATTTTTGTCAATTTCAACAGGAAATATTGTGATTGCCTGTGCATGTCTGTTTGATAAATCTCAAGGTCTTACATTAACATTCACATTTCAAAAAGCATTCATTACCTTTCTTTAATACATCTCCTAACTATATTGTCGTCTTCAGAACATCAGTCAGTCATTATCAAGCAGATTACATTTCACATGAAAGGCAGTAATCTCAAAGCAAGGGTAGGCCTATTCTGAGATTTAGTGTTGTGCTAAAATATTGTACTGCATACATTGTCTGATTTGGCTCGCAAAGCAAGGCAATCTCAAGCAGCTCTAATCTCAGAGAGAATCTTTAATAAGCACAGAGGTAAATAGGCTGGTAATGAAAAGTACCATTTATCATGGCAGATCTCTGGCCATTCAAACACACCACAAACCGTCCCCTTTCCACAACATTTACATTTTAGTCATTTAGCAGACGCTCTTATCCAGAGCGACTTACAGTTAGTGAATACATTTTTTTTTTTTATACTGGCCCCCGTGGGAAACGAACCCACAACCCTGGCATTGCAAACACCATGCTCTATCAACTGAGCTACATCCCTGCCGGCCATTCCCTCCCCTACACTGGACGACGCTGGGCCAATTGTGCGCCGCCCATGAGTCTCCCGGTCGCGGCCGGCTGCGACAGAGCCTGGATTCGAACCAGGATCTCTAGTGGCACAGTTAACACTGCGATGCAGTGCCTTAGACCACTGGGCCACTCGGGAGACAACCACAATACCCAAGACAGACCAGTTGGTCCCATACCTTTCATAATACAGTTGAAGTCGGAAGTTTACATACACTTAGGTTGGAGTCATTAAAACTCGTTTTTCAACCACTCCACACATTTCTTGTTAACAAACTATAGTTTTAGCAAGTCGGTTAGGACATCTACTTTGTGCATGACACAAGTAATTTTTCCAACAATTGTTTACAGACAGATTATTTCACTTATAATTCACTGTATCACAATTCCAGTGAGTCAGACGTTTACATACACTAAGTTGACTGTGCCTTTAAACAGCTTGGAAAATTCCAGAAAATGATGTCATGGCTTTAGAAGCTTTTGATAGGCTAATTTACATAATTTGAGTCAATTGGAGGTGTACCTGTGGATGTATTTCAAGGCCTACCTTCAAACTCAGTGCATCATGGGAAAATCAAAATTAAATCAGCCCCAAAAAATTGTAGACCTCCACAAGTCTGGTTCATCCTTGGGAGCAATTTCCAAACGCCTGAAGGTACCACGTTCATCTGTACAAACAATCGTACGCAAGTATAAACACCATGGGACCACGCAGCCGTCATACCGCTCAGGAAGGAGACGCGTTCTGTCTCCTAGAGATGAACGTACTTTGGTGCGAAAGGTGCAAATCAATCCCAGAACAACAGCAAAGGACCTTGTGAAGATGCTGGAGGAAACAGGTACAAAAGTATCTATATGCACAGTAAAAACAAGTCCTATATCAATATAACCTGAAAGGCCGCTCAGCAAGGAAGAAGCCACTGCTCCAAAACCGCCATAAAAAAGCCAGACTACGGTTTGTAACTGCACATGGGGACAAAGATCATACTTTTTGGAGAAATGTCCTCTGGTCTGATGAAACAAAAATAGAACTGTTTGGCCATAATGACCATCGTTATATTTGGAGGAAAAAGGGGGATGCTTGCAAGCCGAAGAACACCATCCCAACCGTGAAGCACGGGGGTGGCAGTATCATGCTGTGGGGGTGCTTTGCTGCAGGAGGGACTGGTGCTCTTCACAAAATAGATGGCATCATGAGGAAGGAAAATTATGTGGATATATTGAAGCAACATCTCAAGACATCAGTCAGGAAGTTAAAGCTTGGTCGCAAATGGGTTAACTTATTTACCCAGGAATATTAGCCCTGATTTACTAATGGGTATCTGCATTAACTAAACCTCTCCTCCCAAGCCATACACCCACATGGGTAATACTTTTAAGTTGCTCTCCCATCTGTCTAGTGAGGTTGTATACAACAAGAAACACAGAACTAGTTCAGTACCCTATATTCACCACACCAACAGCTAAAGTCAGAAATGTTGACAATGCCGGTTAAAACCCAGACATTTTCCAGCACTGACATTTTCCAGCACAGTCTCATTCATGCATACAGCACTTTGACGTTTATACAGTTACATTGCCAACCTGTAACCCTTAACAACAGGCTGCTGTCAGGGTCAAAATTCTCTCCTGCTTTAATGGAAAAGCTATAAAAAGACGACAAAAGGATGATACCGTTTAAAGGCACACTTCGATATAACATTTTGTTATGCTAAATTCTCTCACTCGACATACAAAAAACAGAATGGGAAATATTTATACTTTGAACACACTGCACTATAAGCCAATCAGGACAGACAGCCAACCAGAACTCACCGAGACGTCAAAGACCTCCTCTGTGTCGTCCAACATGTGGACCTTGATGGTGACATGGCGTCCGGGGGGCATGGTGGGCGGCCTGCGGCCAGGGTCCAGGGTGCTGACACCCAGGGTCTCCTGGGCTCCAAGACGCTGGGCTGCTGATGCTCTGGGCTTGGGCTCCACCATGGTGCTCTGGCCTGCTACTGTCCAGCCTGCAGGGGAGGCAGAATGGACCATCATACACGCGCACATTAACGCGTGTGTAACAGAGTAGGTTCCGTCCTTGTCTCTCACTGGGCTCAAACCCGGGACCTCCTGTACAACATCCCTAACACGCGCATAAACAAACACACCTTGCAGGCTATAATGCGGTTCAGATCATGTCTGTTGACTGTTCAACTATTAATTGTTCAACTTGAGCATTAGGGAGTAGGACCCCTCTCTCCTATCCCGGAGAAAACAGAGGAGAGGTGGATTACATTAAAGGAGACGAAGGCCCAGAGGAGAGAGTTCACATTGTGTCAGACTAGCATCGTAATCTAAGCTAATGGGTGATAATTGTAGCCTTCGGCCTAAGCTATTTGTTTCCTCTCTCTACAAATGTGTTGCTTGATTTCAAAGTGCAACTGAATAACAAAGAGAATGGGGTAGTCAGCTGTACAACTGAATAACAAAGGGAATGGGGTAGTCAGCTGTACAACTGAATAACAAAGGGAATGGGGTAGTCAGTTGTACAACTGAACAGGGACGGCCTGTTCAATAGGGCGATATGGGCGACGCACTGCCAAACGGGAAAAGGAAGGGATTTTTTTTCTAATCAATTATATCACGGCAACAGTAGTTATCAGTGTTGTAATCTGATCTGACTGCCACTAAATGTCAAATCAGGCTAAAGTCGTGCTTCAAATGGCCCGCCCGTTTTTGGGGCGATTTCAGTCAGGTTGAAAATCGCCCAGAAGTCTCTCATAGCCTGTCATGTAAAATCTATTTTTTTCAAATTTCAAAGCTTTCAATACAATGTCTATGGGTGTCTGTGGGCTTGCACTTACGCGCTTTCGTCATACGTGACGTAACCATGAACGTAACTAAGCAAATAGCGGCTAGCAGCGTCTCTGTTGCGACCTGCAGTGTGGCGTTATCTTATGTTTTTAATTTGTACACTTAGTGGCGTTATTTTATGTTCTTAATTTGTACACTTAGTTTACAAACATTCTGCCAACCATAGATTTCCAGTGGTGGGTTTTGGACTGATCTTGTTGATCGTGTACATACCCGCTACGAACGGACTAAATAATGAAAACGCTGCTGGCAGCGGAATCCCAATACAGCTGGGAGACTTGGCTGGATGACAGAGTCCCGGAGAAGTGGAGCCGGTTGGCTTCACCCTGGTCAGAGCGGACCGCGATCTGACAGTCACAGATCGATCCTGGTAAGAGAGCGACTCTGTACCCCCGAGACATTGAACTGCTTTCTGTGTCACTGCGACCTTACTATCTGCCCCGTGAGTTCCCCCAATTGTTTGTTACCGTTGTGTACTGTTGATAATCACAAGTTTACTGGAGAACTGAGACCAAGTAGAGACTTTGGACAGGGTGGATATGGTATAATAAAGGCAGTTTATTCAGAGGTAAAGATATCTGGAATCGCGTGCACGGACTCGTTCGTCAAAATCTTAGGGAGCTATCTGAAGAGAGAGCCCCGAAAACATTGTGTGCAGACATTTTATACAATAAATGATGTAGGTTGAATCTAGTAGTTCTGATCTTCTGATTGGTCCTGATGAGTTGGGCGAGGTCCCCTCCACTGTTGCATTGGCTCTGAGTCGGGTTCTCTGTCTTCAAATGTTCAGCCTAAAGAGAGGGGATTTGTGTGTGTGTGTGTGTGTGTTTAACAGTGATGATGTGTGTGTGTGTTATCAGTGATGATGTGTGTGTGTGTGTGTGTGTGTGTGTGTGTGTGTGTGTGTGTGTCCTCAGAGCAAGAACTCGTGAGTTGGAAGAACTGAGAGACCTATGGTGTGGGTGTTGTCCTTGGCCACGTGCTGACAAGGCTGACAAGATATGACTCTTTTGTCCATTGTTATAGGATAGGAACAGCATTGATTGAAAACAAAGTCCCAACACAAAATGGGTCATGCACAAGATTTTAGTCAGACCAAGCTATAACATTATATATTTACTACGACAGTACATTCAACCAAAAGCTAATATAACAAAGGCATCAGAAATTATTTATAATCTGTCACAGAAACTGGAATCCATCTCCCCAGATCAGTCAATAAATGCTTCTGGTATTGACTTATATGCTGCCCCTGTCTTCATGTTGTTGCTGGACATATCTTTTTTAAAATGTGTGTAGGTCACCTAAATCATCAGAAAAATTGCCCCTCCTGAGAATTTTTTCAGGAGCCGCCACTGCAACTGAATAACAAAGGGAATGGGGTAGTCAGCTGTACAACTGAATAACAAAGGGAATGGGGTAGTCAGTTGTACAACTGAATAACAAAGGGAATGGTGTAGTCAGCTGTACAACTGAATAACAAAGGGAATGGGGTAGTCAGTTGTACAACTGAATAACAAAGGGAATGGGGTAGTCAGTTGTACAACTGAATAACAAATGGAATGGGGTAGTCAGCTGTACAACTGAATAACAAAGGGAATGGGGTAGTCAGCTGTACAACTGAATAACAAAGGGAATGGGGTAGTCAGCTGTACAACTGAATAACAAAGGGAATGGGGTAGTCAGATGTACAACTGAATAACAAATGGAATGGGGTAGTCAGTTGTACAACTGAATAACAAAGGGAATGGGGTAGTCAGTTGTACAACTGAATAACAAAGGGAATGGGGTAGTCAGTTGTACAACTGAATAACAAATGGAATGGGGTAGTCAGTTGTACAACTGAATAACAAATGGAATGGGGTAGTCAGTTGTACAACTGAATAACAAAGGGAATGGGGTAGTCAGTTGTACAACTGACTAACAAAGGGAATGGGGTAGTCAGTTGTACAACTGAATAACAAAGGGAATGGGGTAGTCAGCTGTACAACTGAATAACAAAGGGAATGGGGTAGTCAGTTGTACAACTGAATAACAAAGGGAATGGGGTAGTCAGTTGTACAACTGAATAACAAATGGAATGGGGTAGTCAGCTGTACAACTGAATAACAAAGGGAATGGGGTAGTCAGCTGTACAACTGAATAACAAGGGGAATGGGGTAGTCAGCTGTACAACTGAATAACAAGGGGAATGGGGTAGTCAGTTGTACAACTGAATAACAAAGGGAATGGGGTAGTCAGTTGTACAACTGAATAACAAAGGGAATGGGGTAGTCAGTTTTATAACTGAATAACAAATGGAATGGGGTAGTCAGCTGTACAACTGAATAACTGTCACGCTCTGGCTCCGGGACTCTTTATGTTGAGCCAGAGTGTGTTCGTTCTGTGTGGGTTATTTCTATGTTGGGTGTTCTAGGTTGTTGTTTTCTGGGTTGGCTTAATTGACTCCCAATCAGAGGCAACGAGTGTCAGCTGTTCGCTGGTTGTCTCTGATTGGGAGCCATATTTAAACTGTCTGTTTTCACTTTGTGTTTGTGGGTTCTTGTTTTGAGGTAGTTTAGTTTCACCGTGTACTGTCACGTTATCGTCTTTGTTTGTTTTGATCGTGTTTCATTTATTAAAGAAGATGTTTGCTTGCAACGCTGCGCCTTGGTCTCCTGTTCTAGACGATCGTGACAGAAGAACCCACCTTAACCAGACCAAGCAGCGTGTTCAGGAGCCATCGCTGGCAGATCTCCGTGGCAACCTCGACTGGATCAAGCAGCGTGACGAGGAGAGAGGATGGACGTGGGAGGAGATGATTGCGAGTTTGGCAAGAGGGAGAGAGGCCTTGGCCACGGGGAGGAGAGACCCCCAGGAAATTTTTAGGGGGGGGGGCTCACGACGTCGGGGCAGCAGGTGTACGGGTTAGAGCGGTGCAAAGCGTTGGCAGAGAAGGCCGCCAGGTTAGGGGGGCCACTGGGCACAGAGGAGAGGGAAAGTGTGGAGGCACGGCGAGAGGTACTGGGGTGTGTTACCAGTACGGTCCGGCCTGTTCCTGCCATTCCCACCAAGGCAGTGGTGCGCGTCGTCAGCCCAGCCCGGCCTGTTCCTGCCATTCCCACCAAGTCAGTGGTGCGCGTCGTCAGCCCAGCCCGGCCTGTTCCTGCCATTCCCACCAAGTCAGTGGTGTGCGTCGACAGCCCAGCCCGGCCTGTTCCTGCCATTCCCACCAAGTCAGTGGTGTGCGTCGACAGCCCAGCCCGGCCTGTCCCTGCTCCACGCACAAAGCCTACGGGGTGCGTCGCCAGCCCAGCCCGGCCTGTCCCTGCTCCACGCACAAAGCCTACAGTGTGCGTCGCCAGCCCAGCCCGGCCTGTCCCTGCTCCACGCACAAAGCCTACGGTGTGCGTCGCCAGCCCAGCCCGGCCTGTCCCTGCTCCACGCACAAAGCCTACGGTGTGCGTCGCCAGCCCAGCCCGGCCTGTCCCTGCTCCACGCACAAAGCCTACGGTGTGCGTCGCCAGCTCGGCCCGGCCAGTTCCTGCTACTCGCACCAAGCCAGGGGTACGAGTCGTCAGCCTGGTCCAGCCCGTTCCTGCTACTCGCACCAAGCCAGGGGAGCGAGTCGTCAGTCCGGCACAACCCGTGCCTGAGTATTCGGTGCCAATTCAGGTACCGCTCAACTGCTCCACTAAGGAGCTGAAGCCTACCGCTCCTGCTACGTCCAGTCCAGCTCCAGCCAGCAGGGCCAGACCGGACCAGGGGCGCTATGGGGGGTTTGTTGTAGGGTTTTGGTCAAGCCCGGAGCCGGAACCGCCGCCGTGGAGGTATGCCCACCCAGCCCTCCCCTGTTTTGCTCTTTTGAGGCGCGGTCGCAGTCCGCGCCTTTAGGGGGGGGGTACTGTCACGCTCTGGCTCCGGGACTCTTTATGTTGAGCCAGAGTGTGTTCGTTCTGTGTGGGTTATTTCTATGTTGGGTGTTCTAGGTTGTTGTTTTCTGGGTTGGCTTAATTGACTCCCAATCAGAGGCAACGAGTGTCAGCTGTTCGCTGGTTGTCTCTGATTGGGAGCCATATTTAAACTGTCTGTTTTCACTTTGTGTTTGTGGGTTCTTGTTTTGAGGTAGTTTAGTTTCACCGTGTACTGTCACGTTATCGTCTTTGTTTGTTTTGATCGTGTTTCATTTATTAAAGAAGATGTTTGCTTGCAACGCTGCGCCTTGGTCTCCTGTTCTAGACGATCGTGACAATAACAAAGGGAATGGGGTAGTCAGCTGTACAACTGAATAACAAAGGGAATGGGGTAGTCAGCTGTACAACTGAATAACAAAGGGAATGGGGTAGTCAGATGTACAACTGAATAACAAATGGAATGGGGTAGTCAGCTGTACAACTGAATAACAAAGGGAATGGGGTAGTCAGCTGTACAACTGAATAACAAAGGGAATGGGGTAGTCAGTTGTACAACTGAATAACAAAGGGAATGGGGTAGTCAGCTGTACAACTGAATAACAAAGGGAATGGGGTAGTCAGCTGTACAACTGAATAACAAAGGGAATGGGGTAGTCAGCTGTACAACTGAATAACAAAGGGAATGGGGTAGTCAGCTGTACAACTGAATAACAAAGGGAATGGGGTAGTCAGCTGTACAACTGAATAACAAATGGAATGGGGTAGTCAGTTGTACAACTGAATAACAAAGGGAATGGGGTAGTCAGCTGTACAACTGAATGCATTCAACCTAAATGTGTCTTCTGCATTTAACCCAACCCCTCGGAATCAGAGAGGTACGGGGGGCTGCCTTAATCGACGTCCACGTCATCGGCGCCCGGGGACCAGTTGTTGTTTAGGGTTAACTGCCTTGATCAAGGGCAGAAGGGCAGACCATAAAATCAAATAGTCGAACAACCCAGCTAGCACATTTGGTTGTGGGTATGTACGTTTTTGGTTTCCCATTGGTTCTGGGATAAGTTTGCTGACAGTTAAAATTGAACGTTTTTTAAACTTTATGAGAAAGGAAGTGAAAATGTTGCCTGTTCTGGGAACATACATTTTTAGGTTGCAGGGAGGTTCTGAGAATGTTTTTCTATGGTTCCCTGAAAGTTTTATTAACGTAACGGAAATTATAGGTTATTTGAAGGTAATTAAATAATGTTCTGAGAACACGTTTCAATAAGACTTTTAATAACCCGGATAGCTTAGGTTAACTATTTTGAACTCCAAGCACAGATAGGACACATGGAAATGTATTTGCTTAGGCATTAATCATGCAAAAACATTCATTTTTTATTGCGGCACAGCGTCAATGAGATTCAAACCAATGATCTTCTGCTCTCTATGCATGGAATTAATCCTCTGTGCCACCAGGATGGTGCTAGCATGCCATGTTTTTTTTTACTCATATAAAGCTGTTCATTTTAGTCTATTCAAACAGACCCAATTTAAAAGGAAACAAGCACTCATTAAGATCAGGTGTGTCCAATTAGTGGGCGTGGCCAACACACCTGAACACACTTAAGAAGATAGAGTTTTGTTGATGCTGAGAATGGAATGTACAGTGCTATGAAAAAGTATTTGCCCTCTTTCTAATTTTCTCTACTTTTGCATATTTGTGATACTGAATGTTATCAGATCTTCAACCAAAACCTAATATTAGATAAAGGGAACAAATAACACAACAATTACATATTTATTTCATAAACAAAGTTATGCAACACCCAATTCCCCTGTGTGAAAAAGTAATTGCCCCCTTACACTCAATAACTGGTTGTGCCACCTTTAGCTGCAATGACTCCAACCAAATGCTTCCTGTAGTTGTTGATCAGTCTCTCACGTCGCTGTGGAGGAATTTTGGCCCACTCTTCCATGCAGAAATGCTTTAACTCAGTGACGTGTGGGTTTTCAAGCATGAACTGCTCGTTTCAAGTCCTGCCACAACATCTCAATTAGGATTAGGTCTGGACTTTGACTAGGCCATTCCAAAACTTCCAATTTGTTGCTTTTTAGCCATTTTCATGTAGACTTGATTGTGTGTTTTGGATAATTGCCTTGCTGCATGACCCAGCTGCGTTTCAGCTTCAGCTCACAGACGGATGGTCTGACATTCTCCTGTAGAATTCTCTGATACAGAGCAGAATTCATGGTTCCTTCTATTAAGGCAAGTCGTCCAGGTCCTGAAGCAGCAAAGCATCCACAAATCATCACACCACCACCACCACGCTTGACCTTTGGTATGATGTTCTTACTGTGGAATGCAGTGTTTGGTTTTCGCCAGGCATAAATGGGACCCATCTCGTTCAAAAAGTTGGACTCAAGTTTGCCAAAAAGCACCTGGATGATCATCAAGACTCTTGGAAGAACGTTCTTCCATGGACAGATGATTCAAAAGTATATAACTTTTTGGACGACTTTCAATAGAACCATGAGGAAACCTATAGATAGAAAACGTTACAGGCAGGTTGTATGCACTCTCACCAAGCTTTAAGAAACATATGGTTCTCAGAACGTTATGCGTTAGCTGGGAACTGACTTGTTTTTTTCTTTAGGAGTAGATCAGCTTTAATATTGCAGAAGATTGTGGCATCCATCAATGTAATTGTCTGCATCATTACCAATCCCCCCATATATATTTTTTGGTAAATACACTACCGTTCAAAAGTTTGGGGTCACTTAGAAATGTCCTTGTTTTCCAGGAAAAACATACATGAAAGATGGCATCATGAGGAAGGAAAATTATGTGGATATATTGAAGCAACATCTCAAGACATCAGTCAGGAAGTTAAAGCTTGGTCGCAAATGGGTTAACTTATTTACCCAGGAATATTAGCCCTGATTTACTAATGGATATCTGCATTAACTAAACCTCTCCTCCCAAGCCATACACCCACATGGGTAATACTTTTAAGTTGCTCTCCCATCTGTCTAGTGAGGTTGTATACAACAAGAAACACAGAACTAGTTCAGTACCATATATTCACCACACCAACAGCTAAAGTCAGAAATGTTGACAATGCCGGTTAGACATTTTCCAGCACTGACATTTTCCAGCACAGTCTCATTCATGCATACAGCACTTTGACGTTTATACAGTTACATTGCCAACCTGTAACCCTTAACAACAGGCTGCTGTCAGGGTCAAAATTCTCTCCTGCTTTAATGGAAAAGCTATAAAAAGACGACAAAAGGATGATACCGTTTAAAGGCACACTTCGATATAACATTTTGTTATGCTAAATTCTCTCACTCGACATACAAAAAACAGAATGGGAAATATTTATACCTTGAACACACTGCACTATAAGCCAATCAGGACAGACAGCCAACCAGAACTCACCGAGACGTCAAAGACCTCCTCTGTGTCGTCCAACATGTGGACCTTGATGGTGACATGGCGTCTGGGGGGCATGGTGGGCGGCCTGCGGCCAGGGTCCAGGGTGCTGATACCCAGGGTCTCCTGGGCTCCAAGACGCTGGGCTGCTGATGCTCTGGGCTTGGGCTCCACCATGGTGCTCTGGCCTGCTACCGTCCAGCCTGCAGGGGAGGCAGAATGGACCGTCATACACGCGCACATTAACGCATGTGTAACAGTGTAGGTTCCGTCCGTTCTGATAATTGTAGCCTTCGGCCTAAGCTATTTGTTTCCTCTCTCTACAAATGTGTTGCTTGATTTCAAAGTGCAACTGAATAACAAAGGGAATGGGGTAGTCAGCTGTACAACTGAATAACAAAGGGAATGGGGTAGTCAGCTGTACAACTGAATAACAAAGGGAATGGGGTAGTCAGCTGTACAACTGAATAACAAAGGGAATGGGGTAGTCAGCTGTACAACTGAATAACAAAGGGAATGGGGTAGTCAGCTGTACAACTGAATAACAAAGGGAATGGGGTAGTCAGCTGTACAACTGAATAACAAAGGGAATGGGGTAGTCAGCTGTACAACTGAATAACAAAGGGAATGGGGTAGTCAGCTGTACAACTGAATAACAAAGGGAATGGGGTAGTCAGCTGTACAACTGAATAACAAAGGGAATGGGGTAGTCAGCTGTATGTCACACCCTGGCTCTGGGGACTCTATATGTTGAGCCAGGGTGTGTAGATTCTATGTGTTTATGTTCTGTGTGGGAGTTCTAGTTTGTGTATTTCTATGTTGGCCAGAGTGGCTCCCAATCAGAAGCAACGAGTGTCAGCTGTTGCTGGTTGTCTCTGATTGGGAGCCATATTTAAACAGTCTGTTTCCCTTAGTGTTTGTGGGATCTTGTTTCCGTTTGGTTTGTTTCCGTGTTAACCGTAGGACTGCACGTTTCGTTTATTGTTTTGTTGTTATATTATCACTAAAGATAATAAAGTTAAGTATGTTTGCAACTAACGCTGCGCATTGGTCTACTCTCTTCGACGATCGTGACAGAAGATACCACCATACCAGGACCAAGCAGCGTGTCCAGGAGCAGGCAGCCTGGACGTGGGAGCAAATATTGGACGGGCAGGGGTCCTGGACCTGGGAGGAAATCCAGGCCGGGATGGATCGCCGTCCATGGAGTGAGACGGTAGAGGCGCGACGGAGAGAGGAGCAACGGCGTCAACAATGTCGTCGTCGGACGGACGAGAGGCAACCCCAAAAAAGTTTTAGGGGGGGCATACGGCATGGGCGACGGGGCAGCAGGAGGCAGCTACAGGGCGTAGTAGGAGGTTAGGTGAGGAGGCCACCAGGTTAAAGGGGGCTATTGGCGCAGAGGGAGCAGGAGTTAGTGGTGCAGAGGGTGGAGCTATTGGAGGCGATAAGGGAGAAGGTGAGAATTGAGGCACGGCGAGAGGAACTCGGTAGGCAGCTGAGGGAGCGGAGGGTTATGACGAAACCCAGTCCCGCTCCTCACTCCAAGCAAGTGGTGTGCGTCACCAGTCCGGTCCGGCCCGTTCCTTCTCCCCGCACTAAGTGGATGGTGCGCGTCGCCAGCCCGGCCCGGCCTGTTCCTGTTCCTCGCACCAAGCCTAAGGTGTGCGTCGCCAGCCCGGCCCGGCCTGTTCCTGCTCCCCGCACCAAGCCTATGGTGTGCGTCTCCAGCCCGGCCCGGCCTGTTCCTGCCCCTCGCACCAAGCCTACGGTGCGCGTCGCCAGCCCGGCCTGTTCCTGCTCCCCGCACCAAGCCTACAGTGTGCGTCGCGTTGTAGGAGGAAATTGGCTACATTTTACATTTACATTTTAGTCATTTAGCAGACGCTCTTATCCATTGAAGCGCCGTCCACAGGGTATGGCATGGCGTTGTAAAATGGAGTGATAGCCTTCCTTCTTCAAGATCCCTTTTACCCTGTACAAATCTCCCACTTTACCATCACCAAAGCACCCCCAGATCATCACATTGCCTCCACCATGCTTGACAGATGGCATCCAGCATCTTTCATTTGGTCTGCATCTCACAAATGTTATTCTTTGTGATCCGAACACCCCAAACTTTGATTTGTCTGTCCATAACACTTTTTTCCAATCTTCCTCTGTCCAGTGTCTGCGTTCTTTTGCCCATCTTAATATTTTCTTTTTATTGGCCAGTCTGAGATATGGCTTTTTCTTTGCAACTCTGCCTAGAAGGTCAGCATCCTGGAGTCGCCTCTTCACTGTTGACGTTGAGACAGGTGTTTTACGGGTACTATTTAATGAAGCTGCCAGTTGAGGACCAGTGAGGCGTCTGTTTCTCAAACTAGACACTCTAATGTATTTGTCCTCTTGCTCAGTTGTGCACCGGGGCCTCCCACTCCTCTTTCTATTCTGGTTAGAGCCAGTTTGCGCTGTTTTGGGAAGGGAGTAGTTCACAGCGTTGTACGAGATCTTCAGTTTCTTGCCAATTTCTCGCATGGAATAGCCTTCATTTCTCAGAACAAGAATAGACTGCCGAGTTTCAGAAGAAAGTTATTTGTTTCTGGCCATTTAGAGCCTGTAATCAAATCCACAATTGCTGATGCTTCAGATACTCAACTAGTCTCAAGAAGGCCAGTTTAATTGCTTCTTTAATCCGCAAAACAGTTTTCAGCTGTGCTAACATAATTGCAAAAGGGTTTTCTAATGATCAATTAGCCATTTAAAATGATAAACTTGGATTATCAAACACAACGTGCCATTGGAACACAGGACTGATGGTTGCTTATAATGGGCCTCTGTATGCCTATGTAGATATTCCATTAAAAATCAGCCATTTCCAGCTACAATAGCCATTTATAACATTAACAATGTCTACACTGTATTTATGATCAATTTGATGTTATTTTAATGGACAAAAAAAAAGCTTTTCTTTCGAAAACAAGGACATTTCTAAGTGACCCCAAACTTTTGAACGGTAGTGTATATATATATAAAAAATATATAGATATATATTCCCTTTTTTATTTACCCCTAACGCTACCACCCCTCCCCTAATTGGAGTAAACTAATTGACAACAACACTTACGCTTCTACTTCCAGCTTATAAATACTATATACACTACCGGTCAAAAGTTTTAGAACACCTACTCATTCAAGGGTTTTTCTTTATTTTTACTATTTTCTACATTGTAGAATAATAGTGAAGACATCAAAACTATGAAATAACACTTATGGAATCATGTACTAACCACAAAAGTGTTAAACAAATCAAAATATATTTTATATTTGAGATTCTTCAAATAGCCACCCTTTGCCTTCATGACAGCTTTGCACACTCTTGGCATTCTCTCAACCAGCTCCATGAGGTAGTCACCTGGAATGCATTTCAATTAACAGGTGTGCCTGTGAAATTAATGCGTTTGAGCCAATGCGTTTGAGCCAATCAGTTGTGTTTTGACAAGTTAGGGGGGGGGTTTACAGAAGATAGCCCTATTTGGTAAAAGACCAAGTCCATATTATGGCAAGAACAGCTCAAATAGGCAAAGAGAAATGACAGTCCATCATGAACTTTGAAAGTTTATTTAAGTGCAGTCGCAAAACCATCAAGCGCTAGGATGAAACTGCCTCTCATGAGGATGGCCACAGGAATGGAAGACCCAGAGTTACCTCTGATGCAGAGGATAAGTTCATTAGAGTTACCAGCCTCAGAAATTGCAGCCCAAATAAAGTCACAGACACATCTCAACATCAACTGTTCAGAGGAGACTGTGTGAATCAGACCTTCATGGTTGAATTGCTGCAAAGAAACCACTACTAAAGGACACCAATAAGAAGAAGAGACCTGCTTGGGCCAAGAAACACGAGCAATCGACATTAGACCGGTGGAAATGTGTCCTTTGATCTGGAGTCCAAATTGGAGATTTTTGGTTCGAACTGCCGTGTCTTTGTGAGAAGCGGGGTGAACGGATGATCTCCGCAATTGTAGTTCCCATCGTAAAGCATGGAGGAGGAGGTGTTATGGTGTGTGGGTGCTTTGCTGGTGACACTGTCTGTGATTTATTTAGAATTCAAGGCACACTTAACCAGCATGGCTACCACAGCATTCTGCAGCGATACGCCATCCCATCTGGTTTGGGCTTAGTGGGACTATAATTTGTTTTTCAAAAGGACAACGACCCAACACACCTCCAGGCTGTGTAAGGGCTATTTTACCAAGAAGGAGAGTGATGGAGTGCTGCATCAGATGACCTGGCCTCCACAACCCCCCGACCTCATCCCAATTGAGATGGTTTGCGATGAGTCGGACGGCAGAGTGAAGGAAAGCAGCCAACAAGTGCTCAGCATATGTGGGAACTCCTTCAAGACTGTTGGAAAAGCATTCCAGGTGAAGCTGGTAAAAACGTTCATTTAAATAGTTTTGAATGCAGCGTCCCTGTCCCATGGAATCGGTACATCTAAAATCTCTTCCCAACTAATTTGCAATCTATATGGCACAGCTGTCAATTTGTTGGTCCTTAAATGAAACTGGTATACTTTTTACTTATCACAATTTTCTTTAATCAATTTTGGTCTTTAATGCAGGGCCGACAGACAAGTTCCTTACTTTCTCCCCCTTCCACTTGCCTCTTCCATTTTTGCGGTAATGCTGCAATTAGTTGGTTGTAATTTTGAGTAGATCAGACATTTACATTTGAGTCATTTAGCAGACGCTCTTATCCAGAGCGACTTTAAAAATATATATTTTTATATATATTATTTTTTTTTCATACCCCCCGTGGGAATGAAACCCACAACCCTGGCGTTGCAAACGCCATGCTCTACCAACTGAGCTACATCCCCTGCCGGCCATTCCCTCCCCTACCCTAGACGACGCTGGGCCAATTGTGCGCCGCCCCATGGGTCTCCCGGTCGCGGCCGGCTACAACATTGCCATATATTTCTGTTAGCTGCATGTGTGACATCACTGACTCTGTAAGAACTTCCAAAAGGCAAACCCATCAATATATGATGACAACATCAGCAAGAGAAGGGACTTGTTTGTACAAATTACCTATAGCGTTGGAACACTGGCAGAAAGAGTGAGTGAACTACAAAACGGTAGAGATAGTGAGAAGCAACCGAGCGAGAGAGAGAGAATGCCCCAGGTTCACAGGCATCCAGCTGCTAATAAGGACATACCATCAGGGCTGTGTGGATCTAGTCAATGAATTACTATCTCCAGG